GATAAAGAGCGTGACAAGATCGCGGAAATGCTTCATGAGAAGGAATGTGATGGTCAGCCAAATACCAACAGTGGTTTATGTTAATCTGTAATTGGTCTTCATGGCATTGGCGGGTCTGGGAAAACTACCCTTGCGCGGTTAGTTTATGCCCCTGAGAAGGACAAGCAAGAAAAAAAAAGTATTTTGACCTTGTTATGTGGGTTCATGTTTCTCAGAATTTTAGCGTGGGTGACATTTTGAAGGAAATACTTGAGGCAGCTACATGTAATTCGTGCCCTCAACTCAATAACCTTAACACCCAGTGGCGTAGCCGGGTCACACCCTGGGCCAACCTTCTTAGCTGCAGTACTTATGGTTGCGACAACAACATACAAAGGACTTCCTAGCCACACCCCAGGCTATGGCCCCTGTTGCCTGGGCCTGGCTACGCCCCTGTTAACACACTACAAGATAAGTTGGAGGACAAATTGCATGGAAAACGGTTTCTCTTGGTACTAGATGATGTCTGGTGCGATACTAGGGGCGAGAGGAAGCATGGGAACTTGCGGCGGATATTTTCTCCACTGAAGACTGGAGAAGCAGGAAGCAAGATTCTGGTGACTAGTAGAACTGAGATGTGTTCCCATATCTGACTTGGATGATGATGTCTTCTGTAGTTTGTTAATGCACTATGCACTTGAAGGAGCAACTCTAGATGATCATGTTCTAAGAAGACTGGATGTGGTTGGGCTGACATTGCGAAAAAATTGAAAGGGCCGCCTCTATCAGAATAGTTGGAAGACGGTTAGGTATGAGACCTGATGCTGATTTTTGGAGAACAGTTAGAAATGAAAGGTCTGCCAGAGGAATATCTTCTAGTCAGTTTGTTTATTCTCTCACTTCAGTTCACTATAGTCACCTTCTTCGTATTTTACGATATCTTCGTGCCACGGTCTCTCACTGTCTCTTCTTTCTTCGTTCCTACCCATTATAACTCCAGGCCTATTCAGATGTGTTGACCCTCGAAAATGGCATGATCGCAAAGAGTGGCTTGAATCTGTAGCAAGATGAAGTAAAATTTCGGATTGGAAGTCACCATTGGATGGCTGTCTTCGAGAAGATCAAGACGGATACAAATATAGTCCAAAACGGAGCCCGGATGCAAGAAGTATGACAATTACAAAGATGCCAGTGTTGACATAGGATTATGAAATGGCATGAAACGTAATTAAGATAACCTCAGATGGAAAAAGTTTCAACATGAAAGTTCTTCGTCTTGTCGAATCGGATGATTTTGATATATTAATCGTCTTAATCGGAGATCGTATGCAAAAGTAGAGCCAAAAACGTGCAATGTTGCAGAAATCATGGAGATGTCCGAACGCCCGAAACCTCTTGTTGCTACCGGACTGTCCGATAATTGGGACCAGACTATCCGGTCTGGGGCGAGAAACACGTCAAAACCTTCAGTTGTGACCGGACAGTTTGGTTCAGTCGAGCCGACAGTCCGGTCCGAACCAAAATCGTGTATCTCTACGAGTCGGATGATTGTGGGGGCGATTAGGCCTTCAAGATGATCTTGAATCAAAAAACAAGCAACACGAACACGCCTCGTCGAAACGGTTAAGTTTGCTTTTAGGTGCATCTTCACGCGAGGTCGTTTGTGGCATGTGGGGCCCAAAAACTGAACAGTTGTTTCAGACTTTCCTAAATCTGAGTTCGATTAGTTTTGGAAAGATTTGGACGGGATTTGAAGTCCTTTTCTTGTACGGGAAGTTCGGCCGCCTCATAAATAGATGAGAGGTGATGGTCGATTGAAAAAATAACACACAATCAAACAAATCCGTCTACCACTTTTACCTTTACTTTTATCTCTCTCCCTTGTTCTTCTTCTTCCTCGTTCTTCGTTCGTTCTTCTTGTTGCAGGGCGGCGAACCTCGAGGCCCTAGGAGCGATCAGGTCGACCTAGGGCAGCCCATAGCCGTTGCGCGCCCTGACGGGGTCCCTCCTGGGCGTGTGGGGTTTCGGGTCTACAAAAGCGCCTGTCGGATTGCTTGCGTACCGCGCTTCCGGTCGGATCTCCTTCGACGTGAGCTGCGGTGCACCACCCCCGGCATCAAGGGTACACGGTGACGTGTTCGTGTGCGAACGGGATGCTACCTGGGTCAGTGGTCCCTTGGATCGCCGTTCACTTTCTACTTATTATGTCTTTTTTGGTGGTTTTCTCATTGCCTGGAAGACAAAGAAACAGACTAATCAAACTTTACCATATCCGGCTGCTACATTCTGGTGGTGGTGTAAGTTTAGACTCTTCCTCTGATAGCCTCACCAACTTGCTTCACATATCCTTCTATTCAAGACCGAATATATTGAACATTGGAAGACTAACGTCACTCCAAAAGATACCATCATTCAGAGTACGGAAGGAACCAGGGTATGAGGTAAAGCAACTGAGGGACCTAAATGAGCTTCGCAGCAGCTTGTGTATCAATGGTCTTGAAAATGTTGAGAGCAACAAGCAGGCTGTTGAAGCCAATCTATCAGCCAAAGAACAACTCGCGGAACTCACACTGAACTGTGATGGTGACAGCTGTTGTCCAGAAGATGAATCAGAGGTACTTGAGAGCCTTTGTCCTCCCATATATGGCTTGAAACACTATGTCTCTCGTACAACAAAAGTTCGAGGTACCCAAATTGAATGATGGGTAGTCAGAGCGGCGGCCCAAACTCGAGTTCTGGGAATGCAGCCAACTTGGACCTGCTCCTAAACTCGAGGGTTTCACTCAGCTGCCTTCACTTTGGCTATGGGGCTGCAGCTGTGACAGCTTGCCAAGTACTCCATCTAAACACTGTTATATTTCTTTACGGGGTGAGTAATATGAAGAACCTCATGCCTCTCAAGAAACTAATGGTTGATCATTGCTTGAATATCCGCTGGCTTCCAGCTCTGCCCCAGTCTCTTGACGTATTTAATCTCGTTCACTGCAATGACGAGTTCATGACGTCATGTGAAACGATTGGGCATCCAAACTGGCAGAAAATTGAGCACGTCCCCAAGAGAAATATCAAAGGTAGTCAGCTTTTTTTGGAAAAGAAGGATGGCCCCCGCCTCTGCATCAGAGTGATGCATGCAGCCATATTATTAAATAAAGTATAAAACAAAGTCTGAGATTTGAATCTAACTCACAAACGGAGCACAACAAAAAGGAAAATAAAAGATGCCGCAGCCGGCGAAAATAGCAACAGGCTAAGATGCCTACACACCTAGCCTATTATTAACTCGCCATCCATCGGTTGAAGATAACCCGTGCTACCATCTCCCAATGGTTGCACCCAATAACCAAAAACTCCCTGGAGTCCGCATGAGTGAGTAACGGCTGCGTACACATCCAAACAGTGGCTTTGCAGATAACCTGCAAAAAGGTGATAAAGTTTTTGTAGTTAAAGATCATATCGTTTCTTTTGTTCCATATAGCCCAAATTAATGCACATATCCCTATCCGAATATTTCTCGCTATATTTGGTTCCACTCCATTTAGCCACGTCCCAAATAACCTGTTGATGCAAGATGGAGGAGTAACGTTGAAGGCTATATGTATCGTGCGCCATAGTAGTTTTGTCAACGGGCAATCGAGAAAGAGGTGTTGTATAGTTTCATCTTGGTCACAAAAATAACATCTAGAACTACCTACCCATCTTTGCTTAACCAAATTATCTTTCGTCAAGATCACTCCCTTGTGGACAAACCACATGAAGATTTTAATTCTAAGCGGAATTTTAATCTTCCAGATGTGAAGGGATCGCGGAATTGGCCCAAAATCAATTAGATCCAAATACATAGACTTCGCTGAGAAACTACCATTCGTAGTTAGTTTTCAATGATGGTGTCTGACTGGCCAGAGAGTTGAACTTCCATCGACCTATGGACCAAGTGCAACCACGAGTTCCATCATTCCCCTATACCAGAGACCTCCTGAATTGTATATTAAGGGGGGCCGACCGTAATACTGTAGCAACATAAACTTCCTTATGTTGTACAATATTATATAAAGTGCGATATTGTAAGGCTAGGGGCGTTTACCCTAACCATGCATCTTCCCAAAATCTAGTCGTGTTA